CCCCAGCCAGAGCCCCTCCAGTTGGCCAAGCAAAGATAAGGGCTCTGGGCCCCCTTGCAGGAGGGACGGACCCTGGCCCACCTCAGGCAGCAAGCCCTGATCTACGCAGAGCGAGAGGGTGGCCAAGGACCCTGCCTTCTCTCAGCCCCAAGTGTGGCCCCTCCTTTCAGCCCAGGCCAGGGCTGGGGGGGACAAGGGCCATTCCAGCCTCTTCTTGGCCTGGAGGACCCCCTGCCACTCTCCCACAGCTCTGCCAGCCAATGATCCCCTTCCTTTTAGGCTCAGCTCAAAGCCACCTCCCCCAGGAAGCCTCCCTTGACAGCCCCGGGCCCCTGCGACCGGAACCCCCTTGAGTATCGATGGCTGTGCCACTCACTCACTCACTCACTGCACAGACACTGGGGCCATGTCAGTTTCCTGGTATCTTTATTACCCACTCCCAGGGGCACCTCTGGCTCCCCACTCCCAGCACCATGCCAGGCCGGGGTGGCAGAGAGCACTGGACTGCGAGTGGCCTCGGACAGTCATTGCCATTCTGTCAGGTCTGCTCCGGGAATGCTGGGATCAAGGCAGGGAGTGCCTTCCCTGGGGGCTGTGAACACTGGGGGCAGCCGGTGCCCCCCGTCCTCTAGTGGCTGAGTGGCTGGGCACAGGAACAGTGGGGCCTGAGGAGGAAGCACCCCAGGGGGACGGTGGGGGGCAGAGAGCTCACTGCACTCTGGGAGCGGTGGGCCTTCCCCTCCCCGACCTTGGACTCGGAATGCCAGCAGACTCCCCCTCCCCAGCGCAGGGTCTGCTGGGCCGGGGCAGCCGGAGGGAGCCTGGCCCGCCCTCAGATGGGGTGCACAAACTGGTAGACGAGGCGCTGGGAGATGTCCGGCTTCCGGATGATGCCCTTCTTGTAATACTGGCGGATGGAGCGGCTCAGCTTGTCATAGTTCATGGCGGGGCGGTTCTTCCGGATGCCCCACAGCCGGGCCACCTGGGCGGAGTCCTCAATTTTGAAGATGCCTGGGGAAGGGCAGGAGGCCCAGAGACAGCCAGCGGTGCAAGCGGGGAACAGCCCAGCCGGAGGGAGAAAGACCAAGAACTGCGGTCAGTTTCTCAGAAAGCCACGGTCAGCCGGCCACAATACCTACTCCCGGGTGTGCCGGGGGTTAAAGAAATGTGTACAAGGAGCATGCACAGGGCTCAGTATGTGGTAAATAATGCTATGGGGTCAGAGCCTCCCGGGGGCAGGGTGAGCCTGGGTACCCTAGTGGGTTATTTGGGACCGGAGGACCTGCCCTTGCCAGCCTCTGCTCCTACTGTGGGGTGTGCACACCTTACACAGAAGCCTCGCGGCTATGACGGTGCCCACAGCTCATTGGCAGGTCACCCCATCCCGTCGCCCACCATGCCACCCCCGCCACCTGCAGGTCCCTGGCCTGAGAGACCACTTTGCCGTCCTCAGACACCAGCCCACGCAGCCCCGCTGGCAGACTTAACCCGGGAGAGGTGGTGCAAAGGGTGGGCGTGGAGCTGGGCCGCCCTGGGGTTGAGTCCTGGCCCTGCCCTTGTCTACCAGATGCTGTCTGAACCCTTTCTCCTGCCGTGAGAGGGGCTGGAGCCTGGAGGACGTTCCCTCAGGCAGAACAATTGCATTGTTAATACTCCCCGTTCTCATTCAAACCCTCCCGACACACACACACACACACACACTCATTCACACTCACACCCTTTCCCCATCACACCCTCCCACCTCTACACCCCACTCACAGGGCTCACAGCTTCCAAGAGGGCACGGCAGGTCTATGGCCTCCCTCTTCAGGAGAGAGGACCCTCCATCTAGCCTACCTCTCTCCCACCCTGCGCAGCAGATCCAGCATCCCGCAAGGGGGACTGACGTGCCCCCCTCGGCCCGC